GGGCCTACAACACACACCAGCCGACAAATATTAACATTTATTATATTTTATGGTTAACTTTTTTTCTTTTCAAGATTGACAGGGGAGGCTCTGCCTCACCTGCCTCCCTGACCGCACATCACTGTGCTACAAATAGGCTCTTTGAAGCCCTGTTCAAGTGTTTCATTACAACCAAGGCCTTGGGGAAACTCTGGCACCAACAAAATTGCTTTTAATTCAGAGATGGGTGCTAAAGTACCTAACATAATTTCTTTTCCTGTAACCACAAAATATAGCCTTCACTAAAACAGTTTTATAGCCATGAGGTGAGACCTTGTTCTGTTCATGTGCTGAATTACATTTCACAGACAGCCTGGTCGCTGCTGTATTACTCCTACTGCTATATGGCTCAGGTAGGTTGTTGTGTCTTACAGACATATAGACACACACTTTGAGGCATACACACATGCACAATGCTGTCCACTTCTCTTTCAGGGTTTTTCACTCTCTTGTTGTCAGGCTTGTTCTGCTCCACCTGCCTCTCTCCCTCTCTCTCCTTTCTGCAGGCATTCGGTCTCGGGCGTGGCACACACCTGTGCTGACTTTCACAGCTGAGATCACTTACCTATCAGCCACACCTTACTTAAGACTCAGGCAGAGGCTCCTCCAGTGCCAGTTCATTGCGGACTATTGCCACAACACTTTGGCTCTTATTATTGAACCCTTCCAGTTTCTACAAGACCTCTGACATCAAGTCTTTTTGAGTCTACCTACCTGTTACCTCCTCCTCATCTCCCAGGACAGGTGTCATCCTCCTCAGGTCAGTCAGACTGCCATCCTTCAGCTTCACTCACTCTGTCCTGTCTTTCCTGTTGTTAGAACCTGCTGCCTCTGACCACTACAGTATATCGAAGCTACTGCTACACTATGCCTCTCTTGCCCATCCTGCTGTCAAGACCTGAGACCTCAGCCTGCCACACTCTCCTCCTCTTCTTGCTGTGAATCACTGGTTAATCTACGCCTCCTGTGAACTGACGAGTCTTCGCTCACTGCATCTCACCAGTCCCAAGATTCTACACTATCCTTCTCACCTGCTGTTATTCTAATAAATCACTTGCTTTGAACTGATAGTCTGAGTCCAGCCTGTCTGCTCACTTCGTCTCTGAGTGAGCAAACCTAACGCTTGTGTGGTTTTCAGAGTTATTAAACCCTGGTTCTCTTACATTCTAAATATTACTCTAAAATGTACTGAACTTAATTTTGTCCCGACAAGGATTGTGATTCCCCACAGTGTGGCTGTATAAACAGATTTACAGTGGGGCAAATAAGTATTTGATACACTGACAATTTTCCAAGTTTTCCCAACTTGCAGAGAATGGACAGATCTAGAATTTCCATCATATGGTACACCTCAACTGTGAGACAATCTTAAAAAAAAAATTCAAGTAAATCACATTGTTAGATTTTTTTTTTCCCATTTTTTTGTGTGAAATAAGTACTTGATCACCTACCAACCAGCAAGAATTCTGGCTCTCACAGACTTGTTAGGAGGGCTTCTTAAAGACAAACTATCCTCCACTCATTGTATTAATTGCACCTGTTTGAACTTGTTACCTGTATAAGAGACACCTGTCCACACATTCAATCTATCAGGCTCCAACTTCTCCACTATGGGCAAGACCAAAGAGCTGTCTAAGGACACTAGGGACAAAATTGTAGACCTACACAAGGCTGGGATGGGCTACAGGACAATAGGCAAACAGCTCGGTGAGAAGGCAACAACTGTTGGCGCAATTATTAGAAAATGGAAGAAATTCAAGATGACTGTCAATCTCCCTCGGACTGGGGCTCCATGCAAGATCTTGCCTCGTGGAGTATCGATCCTGAGAAAGGTGGGGGATCAGCCTAGAACTACACGGGAGGACCTGGTCAATGACCTGAAGAGAGCTGGGACTGCAGTTTCAAGGTTACCATTAGTAACACACTACACCGTCATGGCTTAAAATCCTGCAGCACATGCAAAGTCTCTCTGCTCAAGCCAGCACATGTCCAGGCCCGTCTGAAGTTTGCCAAAGACCATCTGGATGATCCAGAGGAGGCATGGGAGAAGGTCATGTGGTCAGATGAGACCAAAATAGAACTTTTTGGTATAAACTCCACTCGCCGTGTTTGGAGGAAGAAGAAGGATGAGTACAATCCCAAGAACACCATCCCAACCGTGAAGCATGGGGGTGGAAACATCATGCTTTGGGGGTGCTTTTCTGCAAAGGGGACAGGACGACGGCACTGTATTGAGGAGAGGATGGATGGGGCCATGTATCGTGAGATTTTGGGCAACAACCTACTTCCCTCAGTAAGAACATTGAAGATGGGTCGTGGCTGGGTCTTTCAGTATGACACTGACCCCAAACACACAGCCAGGGCAACTAAGGAGTGGCTCCATAAGAAGCATTTCAAGGTCCTGGAGTGGCCTAGCCAGTCTCCAGACCTGAACCCAATAGAAAATCTATGGAGGGAGCTGAAACTCTGTGTTGCCCAGCGCCAGCCCCAAAACCTGAAAGATCTGGAGGAGTGGGCCAAAATCCCTGCTGCAGTGTGTGCAAACCTGGTCAAGAACTACAGGAAATGTCTGACCTCTGTAATTGTAAACAAAGGTTTTGGTACCAAATATTAGGTTCTATTTTTCTATTGTATCAAATACTTATTTGCCCCACTGTACATACCCACAAGTGATAACAGACCCCCCACACATACCAGGCCTTCAGCTGATGGAACACACTGTAGTCAAAAGGATTTATGCATGTCCTTAGAAGTGCATGGTCAAGGTGTATTTACAGCCCTACTGAGCCTGAACTGGAACATAGTTTCAGGCCACACACACACACACACGCGCACACACACACACACACACGTACTTGCATACAGCTGACCACAGTCACCAGTGTGAATGCTACTTGTGAAACAGACACTCATGAGACCACATCCGAGAACACGTCATATGAGGCAGAAATCTTGTTATTTATAAATTATTAGTGAATTATTCATTTAATTTGGATTTGTGTGTAGCCAAGAGGTTAGTAGGATTTATTGGAACGCTGCACATGAAGTTTTACCTACCTCTGTGGAGATATAGAAGTCGTGTGTGTGTAAGGTAACGGGGGAACAATGTGTGTATGATCCTTCCATCATGTCAGTAGGGTCCATCTCCTTTTGTTATAAAGACCTAAACATCATAATCTGAAATAGTGTGAATGGAAACACTGCTCCCTCCTCCTGCCATCACTCATCACCTCAGGAGATTTAATGTCCTGCTGCTTGACAGATGTACTCAATCACAAATATTGGAAGGAATTTCAGTCTTGCTCTAACACAAACTGTCAGTGAAACTCCAGCAAAGGAAAACATCATGGCTGTGGTCTCTGATTGAGACTGTTCTATGGACCTGCTTCACAAGTGAGGTTGTCAGAACCAAATGGGGGTGAAGGTGGGGGTGATGGGTTTGCTGGTTCAACATAGCAACCCAACACAAAGGTCAGATACTAGATGACCACTTGTATTTCTGCTGGGGTGGCAGAAAGAGGAGTTAGTGAAAAGAGATGAGGCAAACAGGAGCAGATTGTATAAGCATTACATTCATGCTATAGAGGAAATGGGGACTGAATTTTAATTTAAAAAAACTACAATGCCACAGCAGCAGCTCATGGTGTTAGGAAGAGATTCTGTTAAGGATTTCAAGCTAAAAGCATTCAGTTACACTGCTGTACTGACATCTGAGGTCTCTGAACCAAAGGAAATATCAGATGGTTCAACAAATATGAGTTCCATGTTAAATGTATGTAATCATAGTTGAGCTTCAAGTTGAACAGAACTCTGTTTCCTTAAAAACTCATACACTACTACCACAACTAACTGCATTAGAAAATGTTTTCTCTAAGAAACATAATCCTGGATACATTTTAATACATACTGAAACAAATGTATTGACCAAATTTATAAAATGTTATCATTGATGGTGACTATTAACATTACATTATTCACAGTTTAAGTAAAACCAAACTTTGCACAGTAAGGCCCTGGGTCGAACCCAGAATCTCCTTGCTGTGAGGCAATAGCACTAAGCATTGTTCCACCATGCCACCCAACCTCGCTGCCGTAGCTTGTAAACATACCTTTGTATATATCTATCTTAAAACTTTCTAAACTGTGTGCATATGAGTACTTTATTTTTATTTTTTATTTTCCTTATGCCTAATCCTTTTGTACATTCTTTTTATTTCTTGTTCTCTCAGTCTTATCTTCTTTATTTGTTCCATTATTTATGAACATTGTTCATCCAGTCAGGTTCTAGACACATCTCAAGGAGAATTAAAACAGATGCACCTGACCACACTTTGGAGCCACAGCAAATGCTCTGAATACTTTAGTGAGATAATTCAGTTTGTAGATTTTTAATCAATTTGCATAACATTGCAAAACCATGTTTCCACTTTGCCATTAATGGTTATTGACTGTACAATTATTGGAAAAATGCATATTCGCCCATTTAAAATTCAATTTACAACACAAAGTATGGAAAAAACGAGGGATACTTTGTGAAGTGAGTGTATATGAGCCAGACTTGTATAGTATATTGTACTGTTCTAGGATATTTGTACAGTCACTGAAAAATGGCCAGGTGACAGCTAGAGTATGCATAAATGTAAGAGCTGTATATATTTTATTTCAGTATATCTATATATCAATAGACTCAAAAATCCAAATTAAGATGACTGTTACTCAGTAGAGAGCAGGCAGAGATGTCAGCACTGCAGTGATCACTTTTTACACACTCAAATTCTGTATATAGAGACACTCAAAGACACAAGTTAAAAAGACAGTTACCAGAAAGCCTGCTCGTCCAGGAGGACCCTGAAAAAGGGGTGAGAGAGAATTGGTACAAAAAGGAAAGTGTAGATTTTACAAATCAAGTCCATATAATGAAGGATACCTGGACTGAACAGGGCCAGAATAAAATGAATAGAAGAAAATCTGTCGTGTATATTTTATCTTGGCCTTTTCAGCTCAGTGACAGCACAATGATAGAACCATGTAGTGCAGTAACATGCCTCTTCAAATTCTAGTCAACAGGCACTCAGTGAATCATATTTTAACATAACACACAATTTTCTAAACATAAGAGAATAAACAGTTTTTCCACTTCACCACAAAGACTCATGCAAGGTTTGGTTTCAGAAGAAGGCATGCAGAAAAGTCCTTATGGTTGTGAATTGCAAACCCTACTCAAAACTCCTAAATGACTTCATCTTACTTGATTATCTTGCCAATACCAATATGATGACATATCAGCATGGTGGCTCTTTCTCAAAAAAAAAAAAAAAAACATCACAAGGAGCTAGAATATAATGGCTTTTAGTCCCAGTATGTCCAGGTTCTGAGGAGAATAAGGAGCACATTATCAAGAGTCGAGTGTGTTTTGTGTTCATTGCGTGAGAAACCTACAAATCCCTGCATTCTGTGTGAGATGCTCTTAAGTAAAAGATGGAACACTAATTAGTTTGAAGTCAAAACAGGAAATCTTGACACTGAGGCTTTGCTGGGGAGAACGATAGTCTCCTCTTGAATGTTTGCATGTCATTGGTATTTTTCTATGAGCAGTTCAATGAGAGGGGTGAGGTCTTTCTGAGGTTGCATGGACAACTGTGAGGACATTTTTATTTTATTGAATTTCAAATGGCTGTCGGGGGAGCTAAGAATTAGGTTTTTAGATGTTAGGGCAAGGGTTTAGGGATTATCACACAACATTCACAATAACTGCCAAAGTGGGCCACTTCCATATATGGTCCTACATCTGATTCATATCCAACCTCTGAGTGTGCACCTTCTGTCAGAACAGGCAGATCAGAGTCTATGTGTTTTTTTAAATCTCTCACTCCATACAAATTGTCTGTTGCCATCATTCAGTGTCAGCTCATCTCGGGTCAGTAAAAATAAACACGGAGGAGAGCAGCAACAGGGCCAGTGAAGAGATGAGAACATTTCACACTGGAGACACTTCTGATCAAGCCAAACTGGACGTAACAGACTGTAACAGAGCAACTACACAGAGAATTGCACAATTTGACATTGTACAAATGACGTTGTTGTTGTTGTTACTCTTCTATGCATGCAGCTCACATTTGAGTTTAATGTGCAATCGTGGCAATTTAGGAGCTCAAAGGTATTTAAACTGGAGCTGGATACATGTCACTTAGAAACATGAATGTGAACCATCAACACAAAAAGATTAGATCTGACAAAAAGATCAAAATTGAGTGTTAAGACCTGTAATGTGAATGTAGATTTAGTTATGATGGCAAAGGTAAGGGGCTTGGGAATGCACTGCCTCAATCAGTGGCAAAGACCAAACTGTGTGTGAGACTGCTGACCGACAGCAGTAGAGGACGAGCCATTCCTGTCATTGTCTTGCACAAACATGACCAATTAAGCCACTATTTGGCCTTACAGCTAACATGACCTTCTGGAACTAGAAAGTCACTTTTGGCTTTTCCCATTTAGGGGTCGCCACAGCGAATCATCACACTGATGACTCGCATGTTGACATTTGACATGTGTTTTATGCGGGATGCCCTTCCTGACGCAACCCTGATTTGAAACCGGGGCACAGCGCTCTTGCCGGTGTGCCTTAACCACTAGCCTACCAGGGACGGCAACATGACCTTCTGGAACTAATAAATAATAAACACTTGGTAGGACCCTTGCAAGGTGTGGGCTACTGTAAGCCAATTAGTTGTTGGTCATTTCATTTATTAAAACTTTGTATAAAAATCTGCTCCACTAGTTACCTTGCGCCCCAGTTAATGCAAACTCAGCATTTCAACACTTTGCCTGTGTATAACTGTTGTCTTGACAATTTCAGTATAATTTCAGTTTCCACAGCACTAATTCCATCTGTACAGCAAGAGTAATGTCAGACACTTCCAACTTTTTCCCAGACAGAAAGCAAAGAAAGAAACTGGGGCAGACATAGAAAGGTATCCTCCTCCACTCTCTCAGCAAATTAGGAACCTAGTTTCTTTTTGTTTGTTTGTTTTTTTGACTTGCAGGTTCAAAGCCAATTACCTTTGGCCCAATAGAGTATCCACAGGGGACAGTTAAAACAAAAAGCACAACTGCTGTGTGTTGGTGACTTTTATTGATTGACTCAAACTACAATTTTCTAGCTTGTATAGTTTTTTACAGTGCTCTCATCCAACTGACCTGCATTCCAGTGCAGACGGTTCTACTAAATCAGGCTGCCAGACAGTCATAGGGCAGCACAAGACGGTGCATGGTCAGGTGATGAGTGTGAATGTTCGCATGTTAGCCACTGGATCTCCGAGGGCGGTTTGCATGGGGGCAAAGGTCACCCACTCCGGGAAGGAACCCTTCAACTGAATTACACAGTAACCCTCCAACATGTGGCCCCCATTCTGAGCTACTGAGTGAATAGGAAGGCACAGATGGGGTGGTGGGAGATATTTTGGCTATACATACAGTACCTACAGTATGGTGTCCTGGGTACTTCTCTGCTCAATAAGAAGTGTGTTGTGATGTATAGGAAAGAGGTTTTATTTGCTCCATTCTTACTGCTGTAAGTTGTTTTTACAAACTCCTAATGTGTGAGTACTCCAAACACAAGGAGGTTTTCTGATGGTTGGTAAACAGCAAACATCTAACTTCAATCTCATTGTGGCATTTATAACTGCTAATATGTTAGGAAGCCATGCGGCTCACTGAAAATAGTTCTTGGACAAATGCAGATTTTAATCTGGAGTGCGACCACACCCGAACACATGCCAGTTCCATTCCTCATAATATGTAAAGCACCTATTCAAACTAGTCTTCTGCTTCTGCTTTTTCATAGGGTGGATCACCTGCCATCCATGTGGTTGCAAATCTCATTTTGTTTGTCTATTTGTTCCTCTGATCGTGTGTTGTTTTCTGCGCCGTCACTGGCTCGTCTTCTCCACCATTTTTATGGGCTTGTGCCTGCTGGTCCCGCTCCATCATCTGAGGGGCCTTCCTCGTTGTCACACCACAGGCCGCAACATCCTTCTCGGCAGGCTGTGGCTGCCTTGTCAGCTTCCCTTGTCCTCCGGGTCCATGAGGACTCCTCCATCCTCTTCCCTATGACTCTCCTGCCACCGGCTGATCCTTCCTGTTGTCTTCAACAAGATATAGAGCGGAATTTTTTCCACTCAATATCTTGTTGTTTTGTGTTTGTGTCACTATGCTTTTCTCTTCTTTCTCCTCTATCCACCCACCCCCAACCGGTCAAGGCAGAAAGCCACCCACCACCACCTCTGTCTAAGCTTTTTTCTGTTAATAGGAGTTTTTCCTCCCCCCTGTCACCAAGTGCTGCTCAAGTGGGATTTGTTGGGTTTTCCTTATAATAGTGTGAGGTCTGGACCTGATTATGTAAGGTTCCCTGAGACACTTGCTGTTGTGAAATGGCACTGTGCAATAAACTGAATAGAAGGTTTTGGGGTCTGCTGGTGCCCAGGAGCATCGCGGACCTCCGAAGCCTTTTTTCCTCAAACCACAGTCCATAAGTATTACGCCGTATTCAAACATTCATTCAACATTCATCCTTTCCTGAGGTTACGGTCCCAGCTAGTGAAATATGGAGCCTATAGTGGCAAGAAAGAGTATGTGAACCTCTTGGAATTTCATTGTTTTCTGCTTTAATTTGTCATAAAATGTGATCTGATCTTCATCTAAGTCAAGAGTACAGACAAATATAGAAAGAAAGAAAGAAAGTCACTTTCAGCTTTTCCCGTTTTAGGGATTGCCATAGCGAATCGTCACACTGACGACTTGCATGTTGACATTTGGCATGTGTTTTACGCCAGATGTGCCTTATTGACAAATATATTCATTCATTCATTCATTCATTGTGCCTAAAATATTAACACAACCCACCCCCCTTGGCAGCAGTAACCTCAACCAGGCACTTCCTGTAGCTGTGGATCAGACCTGCACATTGTTCAGGAGGAATTTTAGCCCATTCTTCCTGGTAGAACTGCTTTAGCTCCATCATATTCTCTGGACGTCTCCCATGTATGGCTCACTTCAAGTCATTCCATAGCATCTCTATTGGGTTGAGGTCTGGGCTCTGACTTGGCCCCTCCAAAAGGCGGATTTTGTTTTTCTGAGGCCATTCTGTTGTGGACTTGCTCCGGTGTTTTGGGTCACTGTCCTGTTGCATCATCCAACTTCTACAGAGTTTCAGCTGATGTACAGACATTCTCACATTATCCTGAAGAATTTTTTGATACACTTGGGAATTCATCTTCCCCTCAATGATTGCAAGCTGGCTAGACCCTGATGCAGCAAAGCAGGCCCAAATCATGATGTTTGCTCCACCATACTTTACGGTTGGGATGATGCTTTCATTACGGTTGTTTCTTTACCTCATTGATGAGTCTTCGTTGTGCTCTTGGGGTCATTTTGACTGGGCATCCACTTCTTGTCTCCATTTGTAGATCGTTTGCCTAACTGTAGACTGGTGAACTTTTTAAGTCTTTGAAATCACTTTATAATCCTTTCCAGCTTTATGTAAATCAACAATTCTTGATCATAGATCTTCGGAAAGCTCTTTTTAGTGAGGCATGGCTCACATAAGCATATTCCTCTTGTATGGCACAAACTCAAAAGGTTTGAATGGTTTTTATCAGTCAAAGTAGCTCTAGTCCACACCTCCAAACTCATTTTCTTAACAAGACTCCAGGTATGCTAACACCTGACTCCAATTAGCCTTTTTGAGGTCATTAACTCACATACTTTTTCCACTAGCACTATGAGGTTTTTATGTTTGTTCTCAATAAAGACATGAGAAATCAGAATTGTTTGTGTTGTTATATTAGGCACATGATATTTGTCAATACTCTTGACTTAGATAAAGATCAGATCACATTTTATAATAAATTAATGCAGAAAACCCATAAATTCTAAAGGTTTACATACTTTTTCTTACCACTGTATGTTCCAGACAAATAGTTAAACCAGGTTCTGCATTCACCAATATTATAGCAACTACACAAAATCTATTGTTGGTTTTCATCTCTGATTTAAAGAAAACAAAAATAAATAAACTATCCTAATTCTTCAACTCATCCTTTTACTATCTATGAAATAGCCTGGCCAATGTCTTCTGGGAGCTTCCTACACAAAGCCAGCCCAGTAGATTGTGTCTCTGTGAGCAAATACAGTTAACCCAACTATGAAAAAATCTCAATGGCCAAAGCAGACCCATAATCTTTTTGCTCCTATGGCATCAGGACACAGCTGTTAATCTGTTTTTTTATTTTAAATCTTTTACAAGCTTCACTCATTGAAAATGGGTTTCAAGTAAAATACCTTTCTTTTATTTTTTTTTTAATTAAAAGTTTAAAAAATTTAAATACTAGGTATTTCTCAGGAAGGACATAGGAGTGATGTGTAATCAGGCCATATCTTTGAGTTAAAAATGCTCAAATCCTGTGGAGATTTACGTTTAAAAGCATGGAATATCTGCCTTACTACTGTATCTGACTTTGTGTACTTTAAAACCTCCTCTGTAGGAACTATCTCTCAAATTTTCCAGGGAGGGATATTTGGCAGAGGTGATTTTAAAAGTGACACCACTGTACAAAAGTCAAATAGAGGAGTCAGGCAGTTTTCCTTTTCACCAAAGGCTTGATTTCAACTATTTGCAGGCATTCAACCAAAGATGTGATGCACTTATCCTGTGCATGGCTCGCATGAGGATGATGCCTGTCCCAGCACTGAGTGGGCAAGGTACACCTTGGACAAACATTTATAGCCACAGGCAAGTCAGAGTCATTAATTTAGGAGGAAGCCCACATAGACAAGAGGAGAACATACAAATTCCACACAGAGAAACCCAGCTGGCTAGCAGATTTACTCATAGAACCTTCTTGATGAGAAGGTTATAGTGCTAACCACCAGACTTAAATGAGTTGCAAAAAATGGTGTGGACATTTTCAAGCATAGTTTAGAGCCATAAATTGTATAGAGACATTTGGTTCATGATGGGACAAAGAAAAAGGGACAGACTATCATTGTAAAGGTATCAAATATATATATTCAGCATGATGTTCCAGTTCTTCTACTTCACACCAAAATGCAACAATAACTAAAGTCACTTTACCACATGCAGGTTGTACAAGGCACCCGGTCTACTTACTGGAGGTCCTGCAAGACAAAAACAGAGAGAAAGACAGAAAACATTTACATTCATATTTTATGACCACATATACTGTACAATACAATAATTTTGAACTGCAAATGTACTGCATGTTACTGGCTCATAGCATATTGAATACTGTGAACAATTAACCCTTGTTTGTGTTCTCCCAGTGCCTGTAGGAGTTTCCTCTGGCTTCCTCACACAGTCCAAATAGGGTTTGCTGTCTGGCCTTTGTAGAATCTTTTCTACTCTAATCATCATATCCCAAGGAAAAGAGAATATTAGCATTCATTAGCATTAATATTGTACATAAAAGTATTGATATCACTTCTAGCTGAGTGCTTAGATAATATGAAATCTGAATTAACTGAGAAGCTGGGTTTATTCATGTCTTCACACAGGGAACGTGTTCTGGTATGTAAAACTCTGTCCTATTTAATAGTTTAGATTATACCACATACATAAACATCAAAAACACATGGGGGAACAAACAGCCAGGGCCAGTCTATGACTCACACTAAGCCCTGTAAAACAAATCATTCATAAAAACCAGTCTGCCTTCTCTTGACCTTCTCACGAGCACAGTGAGAGAGCCAGGAGCCATCTGACAGAATCAATTACTGCTGAATCCTGACAGGGGTCACTAAAGATGTTGTTACATCAGTCACAGTGAGGTGGGGAAAATCACTAATGACAAATCTCTTCTGTGAAATGTCAAACCAAATCCCCTGCTTTATCTTCTGTGCTGGTGCCTTCTAGCCTGGAAGCTCGTCATCAGCTCACTTTGTATTCATATAGAATGAAAAGCAGTTGGAACAAGGAAAAGAGACAGTTCAGGGAAAGAAGGGGGAATTTTATGGATAACTCAAACAGGTTAACTGTTTGGTAATCACTGAGAATGAAGTAGGTGTTTTAGGATTTCCCCACATGTAAGGTTTGTCATTTTAAAGGAAATATGAGACACACGTCCACGGCTTGGATATGGCACTCAAGTGGATGGTTGATATTAAAAGGCCTTTAATACACCTGAGCTAACACATTAACAAATACACCAACATTTGGTTATTTCTCCCACACTTAAAACTTACATAAACAACCCACGATTGCAGTTAGGGTGACACATTTCACCCCTCTGAGCCTGGATATTATTCTCATGTTTCCATTTGTTTCTGGGGTGTAGTACTTGTAGTAATTTGAGGAGCCATTCTGTGTTGTTTGCTGACAGGGTAAGTGCTGTTTTCATCACACAGACCTTGTAGCACATAAATGTCAAAGCCACCTAACACAACAAATCTGATACAGAGGATATGCTCCTCAGAAGATAAGCCCTTTTTTGCTTTTTGTAACAATGTATTAATAACTGATATATTTGCTGTGGGTAGTCCTAGGCAATCGTTGTCAGTGAACCTTCCTTCCCCATAGAGCTGGGGTGCTGAGAAACCCCCACTGACCCCCTAAAATCATCAAATGACTTAAGAAAAACTAAAAATGTGATGATTCACATGTGCTCTAAGCAGAACATCTATTCACACTGAATCCAAAACATGTGTATCATGGCTTTTCCGATTGTACAGATATGACTGAACAGAATAATACAGCATATTATTTTGATGTAAATTGTGCAAAGAAACTCAACTGCCTCCATGAGCTGTGTGTCACAGCTAATATAACTACAGAGTGTGCCGGTAAGCAGGACAACTCTTTGGGCCAAACTGCCTTAGCCAGCTTTTTAGAACACCACCGTACACCTGTTCCTTTCACCTCTCATAGTAGACTATCTCAGCTACAGTTCAAAATCCTCTGCCCTGGGGCCACTGTCAGGCCAGAGTTTCCACACGAACACAAGAAATAAACAAATCTAATATTCAGATTTCCATGAAATTTGCAATTTAAACATTTTATGAAACCAGCATTAAAAAAGCATTAACTTTATAACTGATCCAGCAAATGCTACCCTACCTGTTACACATCACAAGTGCATACAAGCATATAATTTGTCAGGTTTCTGTTATAAGAAGTGCTCTGCATACTGAGGTCTGAGTTACAGCAGCGTGTCCGCTATGGTCTAATGACATAAAATTCATCATCTTCTTGGGTCCACAAAGACTCTGTGTGGGCATTTGCATGCAGGCCAATAAACTGTGTGCCCACTGACAAAAAGCCCTGACAGCAAATGAACCAGAATATGGGCGTACGCAGACAAAAGGGTAAGGTATGAATAGGAAGGTGTGCATATCCCTTGTCCATGTTCACACAAACACATACAGAAAGTATAAATTAGCCTTAAAGGGTAAGCTTAAATCTTTTTTGGATGCAAAAGTGAGGAAAGCAAATACTGAGGCAAGATTCCTGTTGCATTCTGGGCCTGCCAGCACATCCTGTTGGCTGGAGCCACTCATCTAGGGAACATACTGTTGAGCACCTTGATCCAAAAGCACTTTGGGATGACTCGCGGTAGGAGGTTCAAATATAGCACATGAACTGGCGCCTGATGAGGGGCCACTGAAGCAACAGCTTTATGTGCAACAGGCAGTGGGCACAACATGAAACAAACCTTACACTCATAAACACACACACTAAACTGGAGTTTGCTTGACTGCATTGATATCATGTTTTCCAAGTCTTCGCCTCTGCTGGGTTTACAGCTGTCTAACCAATGGTAACACCTGTTGTTTCTGCTTATGTAAGGGTGCTAGTTAGATGTGGCCGGAAATGGAGATCTAATATTACACGCCAGCAAACAAAGTCATGGGCGTTCCCTATTTCCTGCTCCTGTTAGAGTCAGTCATATAGAGAACATTGCTTCTTGCATGTCTTTAAATCCATTACACAGCCAAAAGTCTGGAACACTTAGCTATAATAGAAGTAATATATAGTAAACAAAGAGCTTAAACTCAAAGTGCCCCACTCTTCTACTAGAAACCTTCAAATCAACCCCATGATGTCTCATTTATTCTCAACTTGCTTGACCTTTTTGTGTTACAGAGAGCAAATTGGTATGCTGGGCAAGTGGGCTGCCTTCTTGAGACTATCCCTGTCTAAGCATATGGATCCAGGAATAACCTGTAGAATTTCAGTCCTGAAAATATCCTCACCATCCTGTGCTCTCTCAGATTCCCTGCTTCTCCAGTTGCCCTTGTAAACATAACACTGGCTGTTGCAAATGTGCCCGCTGTCAGGCTCCCACTTGGTGGGCACCACATAGGGAATCAAGGAAATATGTCAAACTACGCCACAAGATGATGAAAAGATAGGACGTCAGAAAGCAGACACAGCCAGAAATGTATCAGTCAGTCCAGTCAGTTTTAGACCTGGAAGATAAAAAGAGGATTTTATGGTTCACACAAAAGTATGGTCTGCTTCCAGTGTTGAGGTGAGTGTTAGACTAATGAAGACAGAATGTGTGCAGCTCCTTTAAAGTGCTTTAAGATAAATGAGAGAAGTGGACCAAACAAGTCCTCACACCTAATCTTTCAATGCTCCAAAAATTACTTGTGCTGTGGGATCTGGTGTCCCTGTGGTCACAACATGGATAGGTGTAGACAATTAAAGTGCTTAGTTACAGTTTGGGAAGAGCACCTTCCTGATTAAAAGAAAACAAGCAACACAGACAAGATGTCCTTCCCCTCAGCCACACCCTTGGTCAGACATGCCCAGGAGCCCTCCAAAAGCAGCAAGCCACAGGTGTCATGATCAGATGTGTGTACCACTGCAAATATTTAGCAGATAGTGAAGGTCTCAGAATATTTCACAATAATTTAGGCTGTACCACTATTTTCCAGCATTCTACATAAAAAGGTACAAAGCTGGTGTGGGAGGTCAGTGTCGGCCCTCAATTACTCCGCCATGAGAGGCAGCCTTTCCATTAAACCTATTTGTACAGGAGAAGAGGGCGTTTGGTGGAGGAATGATGAAGTGTTGTTTCTGCAATCTGCTGCTGGTGGAATTAAATGTTAACATTGTTTGCAAAAGCTATAATCCATGATTGTCATTGATAACATGTTGTAGTCTAAGATCTCTAAAATGCAATCAGTTGGTAGTTCTCCAGGTCAAAACTAAACAGGGTGAAGCAGCACAGAGATACTGTAGAACCAGAAAATCAAATTTGCAGATGCTGTAGCAATTATTAAAGCTGCATTAACTCAGATTTAGCACAAATTCAGATAAATCAAGTAAACATTGACTAGAAGTGTTGTCCCCCTGCTGTACTAAACAGCCACACACCACTCTGCTATCTTCAGGCCCTGTTTATTTCTTGCCTTCTGTAGCCAGTGTTGTTAAAATCCACACCACACTTCTTCCACGCCCCCATTGATCCAAGGTTATAAGATGTGTTTTTCAAACCACTGTGGCTGATTTCAAAGACAGACAATGGAGGCTCCCTGTGCAGGTCCAACCCAGGATGGGAGTGGACCTGTTAGACCCAAGAGGCCACGTTCTTTAGCACAGAAAGAGTGTGACAAAGAGCGAGGCAAAACCAGGGTTAACATTACTTTGGCATGTCAGAGATGGAGAGCACTAAAAGCATCCAAAGGACTAAAATTTGATACAGATGTGGCTTTTTTCCTGCTAGGCGTGCAAGTACTGTAGCTGGCTAACGTGTATATGTCAGCATCATTTACAAGCTGACGTTAGCATTTCAGTTTTGTACCTGTGTATTGAATTACTCTGATTGTAATTTGCAGTCATTCCAACTGACTGCAGCGTTAGTGTTTTGTTGTCCAGTTAGCAGAAACCAGCATGTTTTCCTGGATTAGAAAATGAAGTAATTTTGCTGAGTTTTGGTCCAGGCTACAGAGTTAGTTTATGTCATACATAACACAATACAGTACAGCAGCACAGTTAGCGCCGTTGCCTCACAGCGAGAAGGTTCAGGGTTTGGGCCCCACCCTGGACCTTTCTGTGTGGAGTTTGCATGTTCTCCCTGTGCTTGCGTGGGTTCTCTCCGGGTACTGCGGCTTCCTCCCATGTTTTCCCCCCCCCCCCATGACCCCGTTCAGGGATT